CTGAGACTGCATTTTGCTTTCATTTTACCATTTTTGAAGCTCCTGAAGCTTCCTGGGTTCCAGAGTCCTTCTCATGATGGTGGCAGAGGGCAGAGCATGGGGTCTCATGCTCGCAGGCAGCTCACTGAGGGTCCCAGGCAAGCCTGGGACCTAAGGTTCTTCTTGCAATGGCAGCAAGGGCAGAGTGTGAGTTCTCAGGCTCCCAGGCAGTTTACTGAATCTCCTGAAGCTTGCCAGGACTTAGGGTCCTTCTCTTGATGGCAGTGGGGGCAGAGCACAGGGTCTCAGGCTCCTTGGCAGCTCACCAAGAGTGCCAAGGCTGCCTGGGACCCAGGGTACTACTTCCTTTGGTGTCTTCTTTTCACCATGTCACCGCTTACCACGGGCCTCAAAGGATAAGACAAGATCATAGCCAAGGACACACAGATCCATCTCAACTAGATAAAGACTATAGCCTCAGGCATCTCACTCCTGCATGGAATATCTTAATCCTTACTAAGGATTAACTTAATACTTTACATGGAGAAATCCTTGAGTAAATCAGCCCTTCTTTCTTTCCTTTTTTGGTACTGAGAATCAAACACAGGACCTTGTGCTTGCCAGGAAGGCATTTTAGTCACCTGGCCCCCATTTTAAAAAAAATTTGACCCTTCTTGAATACTCTCCTTGCTTCTTCTGATAGCCAAATAAGTATGGGCCACCCAAAGAAGGTCTTGGTCTTAGCCCTAAGAGAATCTCAAATTCTGTGAGGGCCTTGATCCTCCTGGAGTCCTGACATCATTCCATTCACCTCCTTTTATTTAGCCTTCACTGTACACTCATTCAGGAAACTGCGTACCTGATCAGTCTGCAATAACTAAAGGATATTATTAACTGGATAACAAACTGAATCAAACTCAATGGTTAGGTTCAATGTTGACCTTATGGGGAAATTTGATTCAGTTCACAAATAATTTGGCTTGGACCAGAATCCTGAAAAGAATTAAGTTCTTCAGCCAAGGTATCACTGTATTCTCATAGTAAATATTTCTACATATTGTTGTAGCAAATCAATCGTTTCACTAATAATAAAAAGGTATTTTATTGAATATATAAATGAACAGAGAGGATTTAACATTGATCTACATATAATTAAAAATATTCACATTATAAACATTTTCATACACCACTGAATGGGCATATAATTTTTTCCACATCTACCTCCACAGTTGTTCTTCATTAATTGAATGGCTCATCTCCCAGGCTCTGCCTTTCTCTGACTCTTTGGTTTTGTCTGTCTCACATTCTTGCACAAAGATTCTTGCACATCTATGTGAGTGTGAAGACTGAGATCATGGATGTTTCATTTTAGAAACTGAGATCGTCTACACAGGCATCCTTTGCACTTTGCCCCTTCCCCTGGGGGCCCAGAGAGCCCCGCCTCATTATCTCCATAGCCTTCCCCAGTTCATGTGGCCCACACTGATTCACCATACCCTGTGGATGTCAGTGATGGTCCCAGTTCCTTCTTACTTCAAGTAGTGCTGTGACAACAGTCTTGAAAAGAAATCTTGACTTGTGAGGCTCTCTATGGGGCTAAATCTCTAGCCTTAGCCCTACAAGATAAAGGGACACACACGTAGAGCTCTGCTGGGAGCACCTACCGGGCTCTGCTCTGCCGCCATGCTCTCGCTGGTGCTGGTCGGCACCACACTTAGAACCTGCCAGTCTGGTGGGGACACAGGACGCCTCAGTGATGTGTGCCTGTGTGTCAGCATGGGGAGATCGAGCATTTCACACACTTGTTGGCCATATGTGGAGATTCCCTTTGGAATTATAAGACTTTGTCTTTTATGACACATATGGACTCATGAGACCTGTTCCCACCCTTCCAATATGGACCTTCTATTGGGATGTGGGTTCTAAGTAACACTTTTCTGGGTGGCTTTGCGTTTATTAATTTCTTCATTGTTTGTTTCTGTTTTACCTGTAAGAGTCTTTTTTTCTTTCTGCCTTCTAATACTGAAATCATGGACCAGCTGTTTGAGGGCCAAATGCAAAATATATACAGGTGTCTGATATTTATGATTGGTGTTATGGTTTGAATGTAGATGTCCCCTTAAAGCCTCATGTGCTCATAGTTGGGGCTTTGGGATGGAACTGGATCATGGGTGTGTGGTAACTGATTAGTCAACTGATGGAACTATAGCTCAGTGTGATCATGGGAGGTAAAACCTGGTGGGAAGAGGCGAGTCACTGAGTATGGCCTAGAATGGTATGTATCCTTCTTGTTCCCTCTTGTCTCCTACCTACACTGCCGTGGACTATTTCTCTTCTGCCATGCCACCCTGCCTTGGAGCCAGCCAACTATGGACCAGAACCTCTACATTCTGTGAGCTTAAATAATCTTTCATCCATTAACATGTGGGTGCCAAATATTTTGCCCCAGAAATGAGAATGTAACTAAGACTGATAAAATGCTAAGCCAGACTATACACAAATGTCCTCTCTCCTAGGGAAGATGTGAAGCAGCCACATTTGTGACAGCTTGTGGAAACAAACTGCAGGAGAATTTAATAAATACACCCTATGCTGCTCTGGACTTCCTACTCTTGATGGTAGGCTGTGCATGGAACACTCTGCCTCATTTTTCAACAGTTGTATTAAAATAAAGTAGATATAAAATGACCTGCGTACAGTGGTACTATACAGTTGATAAGTTTTGACATGTATATTCCCATAAAGCCATGAACACAGTTAAGAAAACAAAGAAATCTATCTCTCTCAAAAGTTTCCTCATGCCCTTGCTATGTACTCTAAAGTTCCCCCATCCTGGCCTATCATGTGCCCAGGGTGAGACTGATCTAACTTCTGTCACACACACGTACAGAAAAATTTGTCAGCAAAAGAAAAACTAACCAATGAAAAATGTTTCTATACAAGGTCCATTTGATCATTTAAGAAGTGGGTGCATAAATGAATACATTTTAAATGTCATTTAACTTGAAATACGTAATATAAAGGAAGTATTTCTTGGTTAGTACTTTCTGTTTAGTAATCATATAGATAGAATTAAGAGAACCATTTTCTATGGTAACAAGTAGCATCATTTCTCTACCTCATCTTACAGCAAAAGAAACCAGCAATAGTGAAGAGACAACCCACAAAATGGGAAAAAATTCTTACCAGCTATTCTTCAGAAAAAGGACTAACATCTACAATATAGAAAGAACTCAGAAAACAGACAAACGAACAAACAAAAAACTGATCTCTCAGATTTAAAAACCCAATCCAAAAATGGACATCTGAAATGAATCAACCTTTCTCACATGAAGTACAAATAGCAAATAAATATATGAAAAGAATGTTCTACATCACTGGTCATTCAAGAATTGCAAATTAAAACAACACTGAGACTCCATCTCACTCCAGAAAAAAGAGCTATCATCAAGAAATTAACCAGTAACAAATGCTGATGAAGCTGTGTGGAAAAAAGAACCCTTCTCCACAGCTGGTAAGAGTGTAAACTGTACAACCACTTAAGAAATTAGTATGGAGATTCTTCAAGAAACTAAAACTAGAGGCTCCATTTTGACCTAGCTGTTCCCTTTCTACGAATCTTCCCCAAAGATTTAAAAGCATCATACTACAGTGATATATGCATACCCATGTTTATACCAGCACAATTTATAATAATTAAATCTTGGAAACACCCCAGAAGCTCATCAAAAGACGAATGGATAAAGAAAATGCACTGATATACCATGGGGTACTACTCTTCCATAAAGAAGAATAAATTTGAGTTCTTTTTAGGTAAGTGGATATACCTAAAGACCATAATTATAAGTGAAATAAATTGGACACATAAGTTTAAATATTGCATTGTTTCTCTTGTGTAAGAAACCCAAAGGGTAAATAAGGAGCTTAATTAATGGACAACAGATATTAGGAAGTAGGAAGAGCTTGTTCAAATGGGAAAGGGAGCAAAGGGGAGAGGGAGGAAAGGAAAAAAAACTGGACAAAAAAGAGAACTGAAGGAAAAAAATGACAATATTTTATAAATGGAGAGGGGAAGAACACTTGAAGGGAGGGGAGGGGAATGGAGAAAAAAGAAGATTTAAGATGTGTTACATACAGGTACAAGTTCCCTATGCTGAACGGGATCATTATGTATGACAAATATGTACCAATTTTGAAAAATTAAAAAAAAAAAATAGCAGAAGAATAAAAAAATCACTTGTAGAACTCATATCAGATTTTACTTTTAAAATTCAGACAAGGAAAAAAAAATAAAATAAAACGAGCATGTCTCTCTTTTCATGAGCAACCACTTTGAAGATAGCAATACGTAATACAACAAGCATTGTTAATTTCCTACCACTTTGTTTGTAACTCTGTATTGTCTGTACTGTTCTTTTGCTATTTTGTAAAAGGTTGTCTGTCTGTTAATGTTTGCCTCCTTTTACTTTTAAAATAAAAAAAAAAATTCAGACAAGGGCTCATAAATCTAACCTGAGAAGCGCTTAGGAGTATACAGCTTTTATAAACACCAAAAATTTGCATTCAGTACTATTAAAGTGATGAAGTCCATTTTATTCCTGCCTACAATTTGGGCTTCTGGTTCTGTTATACTGTGCTAAAAAGGCTAGACTCTAGGTTTATTTTTCTATTTACATATCTTAATACTGCAACACTTATGTGAAAGACAATATTTGGAATCTAAAAGTAACCATCATCTCCAGGATAGAAATGACTAGTTACCAGGGCTGGAGATTTAGCTCAGCGGCAAAAGCGCCTGCCTGGCAAGCGCAAGGTCGTGAGTTTGGTTCCCGGTACCAGAGAAAAACCAAAAAAAAAAAAAAGAAATGACTAGTTACCAGTACCTTGAACATAAACCCCCTTATGTCCATGGCAGCAGCTCACCTTTAAGTCTTGGTGCTATAGGTAGGATCTCCCTCCAACATTAAATAAAGTTAAATATGTAATCTTCTGTTCCCCAGTAAGAGGAAGTGCACATTTTGTATGTGAAGTATTATGGTCAGTTTATTAGGTTCAATGATGAAAGTTATCAGAAAATATTCTCCTGAAAATTATTTTTTCTTAGAAAAAAAAGGAAGGAAAATCACCCCCCTCAGCATAGCCACAGGTGCTGTGGCTGTCCAGCCTCTCTGGAGATGGAGACAGTCTGTCATTCTGTGGAGTCACTCCCTGCATCTGCGGGATTGTAATCTGGTTCATCTTCAACGTCCTCCAGTTCCAAGTCATCCATTTCCTGGAATAAAGACTCATCTACTTCCACGTTGTTTCCAGCTGTGCAAGGAAAAGCATATTTCCCCTTCAGTTTTAAACCAAGGAATGAAAAACATAACTCACTGGCTTCTAAACGTGCATGTGAGGTGCACAGGATGAAACCCCATATCACTAATGCAAATCATATCTCCTTTGGTCAGTAGAGATTCTGAGATATTAAGAGCAACTTCATTTTTCGATTTCAGGCTAAGATTCTGATTATTTAAAAAAAGCTAGCAGAATTATTACTTATAATGTGGTATGTTATATTTTGAACACAATGGTGATGACACATTGCTTTGGTTATACGAAGTTGACATTGCTAGGTCTTATGCCAGTACCTATCTCCTTCAACAGTGGCAGGTATGCCCATCATTAAAGCTCAACTATCCATGTTATTCAGCTGAGATATTCAAATTGACCTTACTCTTACCCAGTTTGCCTTGTAACCAACAGTATGACTTTCCAAGATGCCAAATATCTAATCTCTACAAGCAATAGCCAAGCTCTACATTCAACTCCTTCAGTCTTTACCTGAAATAGGTCAAAGTAGGATATTATAACACTCTTGATCAATAAAAATTGCTGTCTTCCTTTCTCAGACTTCAGTTTATTGAAATTCAATCAAGTGAAAATATAAAGAGAATGAGTCTTTCTTGGTGCCCATGAGAGGCTCAGTAATAAAAATATAATATGCTAAGCACAAGCCTAAAAATAAATGAGTCTTGGATTGGTAGTGAAAGATCCACAAAGCAGATGAAGTCTAAAATGTCTTGGTGATAAATTTGAATCCACTAAGAACAAAAGGGGCTGGATGAAGCAATTCTGTGTAGAAGTACGTATACTGGCAGAGAAAAAAGATAAGACATTAGTAATTTCTAACTGGAGGATAAGATTTGAAGAAAATTACCTAGGGATAGTTGAATAGATAAGGACCAGAATGTAGGTCAACCTTTTTTTTTTAAGCAGTGGAAATCAAAGTATTATAAAAGATAAAATACAGATTTAAAAAATGCCACATCACAGACAACCACTATAAAATACTGTAGATAAGGGCATTAAAAGTAAGAAGAGTGAAGGGAAATAATTTAAGGGGTTATCACAAAAGTCTCAATGAAAATAATAAAATCTTCAGAAAGAAAGAAGAAAGTACTGAGAAGTTATTTCAGAAGCAGAATCAATAAGTATCTTTTAGTAACTTACTTGTAATGAAGATACTTGATCCACTAGAGAAGGAATTGAGTCAAAAACGAGTGAAGAGACTAAAACTGATAAAGCCCAAGAAAAAATGAAATGAAGCTTTTTAAGGTTAGAACTTCTTAGCAGAGTAGATGAGAACATCTTGCTGGGTTTTGTTTGACTTTTTTGTTGTATAAAAATCTTACTACAGATGCTACAAAGATTATAATAAGATGAGGAGTGTACCTTAGTGGTAGGGCACTTGCCTAGCATACACGAGGCCCTGGGTTTGATCCCGAGCACCACACCAAAAAAAGAAAAAGGAAGAAGAAAGAGAGAAAGGTGAGTGTCAGTACTAGGGGCCCAGCTTGCTTTCAAGAATGAGTCAGCAGTGAGTCATAATGACATTGCATTGCTTCTTAACCTTCTCTAGCAGATCCAGAAGAAAGCTAAAAGAACAGAAGCTAGAAGATCTCCAACAGGCAAAGTGAATGTAACAGATGGTGAATGAACAGGGCTCCACGAAAACAGAACTGATCTATCCTGTTCAGAGTATAGCTTAGAGTGAGACTACTTGGAATGAAATCAGAGCAATAATTTTTTTAATGTAAATTTCTCTTTACAAGGCTGTTTAAAAAATACAGTTTAAAGTATAAATTCTAATAGTTGATTAACTTATACATTTGAACCAATACATTTGAATAGAATTTTTACTTCTATAACATGTTTGAAAACTTTCTGCTAATTTAAGCAAATTTAAAGTAGTAAGAATAGATAATTATGTCCACACTAGCCTCTAAAATTAAAGACAGCACATTACATACATATGCAGTGCTAATCTTATCTTACCATCCTCCAAGAACTGGATATCAGATGTGTCAAGATTATGATCTGTTTCAAACAGCTGTTTGCCTAAAAAGAAAGAAATATGTTTAATTGGCATAGTACTCCTTCATCTTCCCTAAAACAATTTTTAAAATGTAGTAACTCAAGGAAATAAGTCTGGAAATCTATTTTCACATGAATTTTGACAAACTTAAAAACTTCATCCATCACTAGGAGGCATGTGAAATGTATTGACATTAAAATGCAACAAGTAAAAACCTCCTCTGCCTTAGAATCCTAGAAAAAACAATGGGTTTTACTCACCACTTCTAAGGCTTGTGATCCTAAATATCTTTCTGTCTTAGGATCTACTGATTCCAACATATTCAGCAAAGATAAGCTATACAATCAATTATATGTGTAGATATGTCTTTCATCTTTTTGAGGCCTAAGTATATTTATTGATCACTTTCACATAAAAAGCTGTCTAAGCATCCCCTTGCTATCTAAGATAGGGCGGGGGACTGGTAAGAACTCCATGTGAGGTGATGTCATACCACTCAGTTTATTTTTTCCTGCTTGTTCTTCTTCTTTCATCCGTTTCTTTTTAATTTCCAAGAGTTCTGCATCAAACTTGGCTTTCCAACATAAGAAATTCTCAATTGTTACAGGCGTGCCATGGAATAATTGCTTAGCAAATTAAAAAAAAAAGACATTATTAGATTAATAAGATAGCAGTTCAACAAATAAAGTAAAAGTATATCCTTGAATCAAACAGAACCACTTTTATACGAGAACAGGAAAATCACTAGGTGAAACTGTATAATGCACTGCCTCTTTTCACTGCTGTTGACAAAGGACTCTAGCAAAGCCCATGTTTACTCTTATCACAAGAAATGTGCACTCAATTTACTATGCTCACCATGGCTATTTACTATTAAGAAGAAAGTTGTTGACATTATTAATGTTTTCAACACACATCAATTTATAACATTAAATCATTGTTTTCAATTCATTTTACAATTTGAGGTTTTTAAAAATTTACTATTTAGGTCACTATACAAGGGGCTTTATAAGTTTAAACTTGGCACCATAGGCTATGTAATTTATATTTTTCACTCTTACTTGTAAAAGCTTTACTACCCTGATTATCACTCAGTACTAGTGCTATGCCACTACCTTAAAGTCTTCTAAAGTCATATAATAAAGTCATTTTATCTACTGATTCCAACATATTCATTTTATCTACTGTGATTTCAAAAATTTATTGAAATTGCCTGCAAGAAAGAAAAAAGAAAATCCAACTTCCAATTAACCAACAAACAGATATGAAGAATAATGAAAGAAAACAAGGCTTTTAAACATACCTTCTCTGCTTCTTCTGCTTCTTTTTCCTTTAGTTTCTTTTCTTCCTCTCTTCTTGTTTTTATCTGATCTACTATTGCATTTAATTTTTCTTGCACCGCTGTCACTAGAGTAAAGATCATGACCATACCAAGATTTTCCTCAGCCTATATAAAAAGATGGATGGAGTTTTTCTCTCAGAGAAAAACTAACCAATTAAAAAAATTTGTTTCTATAACCACCATACTGATGATCATTTGATCATTTAAGAAATGGGTGTATCAATGAATACATTTTATTTTAAAAGTCACTGAATTTGAAATACTTAATATAAAGCAAAAATTTCTCACTTAGTACATTCTGTTTAGCAATCATATAGACAGATTTAAAAGAATCATTTCCAACAGTAACATCATTTCCCTAGCTCAACTTCAGGATGGTAGTTCTTTTTGAGAATTAAAAGTTGTGCCAGTGAGCTGAATGTGGGAGCCTGAAAGATTTTCTCATCCATTACAATAATGAAGAAGGTGGGTATTTTTGTTACTTATCTATTTTCCTTGCTTAGATCTGAAATGTTTAGAGCCAAATGTAAATGCATCACCTCATGAAAGGGATATAACAAAAAGCTATTAGAAAGTTGGTGCTGAGGACAAAATGGAATAAACAAGAACATTTTTGTCAAAACACACTAGCCATGCTCTCAGTCCCAGAAGCAGGATCACTGAGCACTTCTCTGGCAAAGCTGGCTTCAGCAATAACCATCTGAGCGGGCACTGCACCTCCAGAGCCTCTGTGAGGACTGGGCTCAGGACAGCTCCTGTAAATGCTATTAAGGGACTTTTCTATGGAATGCAAATGCTACCAATCTTCCCAATTCCTGAACAAAACTCTCAAGTGCCAAACCCCTATGACAACCACCCACAGTACCTTGATGTCACTGTTGTAATTTACACCTAGATGCCCCTAAAGCCTTGTGCACTCTGACTTGCTGTGAGAGGGTAGGCCCTGGAGAGAGGAGGCAGGCAGGTCACTAGGGTCATGACTGAGGGGTAGCTCCCTCAGTCAGGCTCCTCTCTTTCCTGGCCACCATGACATGAGCAGCTTTCATCTGCCATGCTGCTAAGATTTTGTTTGTTTGAGACAGGGTCTTGCTATGTAATTCAGTCTGGCCTCAAATTCATGGGAATCCCCCTGCCTCAGCCTCTGAAATACTGGACTTACAGATGTTGTGCCCTCACGCCCAACCGAGGCTCCCCTTTGAATGAGGATAAAGTCTGTATTTTTTAAAAAGCTTAGGCAAATCTGCTGAAGAAGAAAGTAACCACTTTTAATTCCATCATATACCACCTTCAAATTTTAATTCAATTAATTTTGTGTAACTGGGCATTCTGCGGAAAAAACCTCTCCATCTGCGTGTCCCTCTTAGTCCTTTTCTTTAAGAAAGTTATTCCTCTACTTTCCTCTATTTCCTTATTGCCTGGCAAACTTCCCTGAGACCTCTGCTTCCTCTTAGAAGCTTCTCTAGTGCTTCATGTCCGTGTGTACCCATATAATCCTGTACTTCACCACCAGAGCATTTTTTATACAGAAGAACGATTTCCAGTTTGCCAGTGAACATTTCCCAATGGAGTAGAAAACCTAGGAGACCAAGGATGGTTTCACTCAGCCTAATGCTTGACATATTTCATTAACAAATTCCACTAAGACATCTGTTACAGAAGCTACCTACTGCAACCAAAAAGCAAACATTAGTAGCATGGAAACTGGATAATTTAGAAGTCATATTAATTCTGCATCACTAATATTTGAAGAAATGCAAACATAACTATATTTTGTTTCCATCTTATTAGCTAATGTACTAAAACTAGTAATGTCAAATAAACAGACACTTCAGTGACTATGGTGAGATCATAAACTCACATCAGCATTTTGAAGATCAAATTGGGAAGATGTTTAAAATTGCAAAGTAGCCATGCACTTTCATTCAGCAGTTCTACTTCTGGAAAATGCCAGATTAGTATACTAATCAGTGATTCATTCCTTTCCCTTATTCAATAATATGTGAGTATCTTTCATGTGTCAGGCACTAGAAAAGGACTTGCTCTAAGGACTTACAAATCAAGATATATAAACAAGAATGTCAAAAGAATTATCTATTAAATGAAACAAAAATGGGAATTATAAATTGCTCTTTAAAAGATCTACAACCATGTATCTAGTTATCAAAACCTATAATTCACATATGTTTATGCACGTTGTTATATAAAAGAGAGAGCTATAAAATATTAAACAAAGATCTAACTTGGAGGGAGGAGGAACTATGTATATAGAAACAGGGAGAGAAAGCTAGCATTATCATACCAAATAATATATACTTACACATGGTTGTTGGAATTAAGGGTAATCACTATTTTCTTCTTCATGACTTTCTATATTTTTTGAGTTTTTTAGAATATGATTTTTTTTTGTTTTTTTTGTTTTTTTGTTTTTTTTGTTTTTCTCCGGTACCGGGAACCGAACTCACGACCTTGCGCTTGCCAGGCAGGCGCTTTTGCCGCTGAGCTAAATCCCCAGCCCCATAGAATATGAATTATTTTGATAACTGAAAGATAATCCCTGTTTTTGGATGGAGGACATCGATTGTTTCCTGCCTGCCACACTATCAACTGCTCCTCCTCTATCCTGCTGCCCAGTTGTGGAATCAGACAACTATGGAACGAAACTTCTACAAACCATAAACTAAAATACACCTCTCTTCTTTTAACTTGAGGGTGTCACATATTTTGTCCTCACAGTGAAAAACTAAGACACCTCTTTACTCTTACGTTTCAAACTAAACACTACCCAAGCACAAGCGAACTACCTACCAAGCACACATTATGAGTAGCCCACAGTGTAACAAACCTACTGCACAAAAACCTTTCCAATACCCATTTCCTCTTCTGCACAACCTTCCCCTCTTAGAGGGGTCATAAGCTGTGAGTGGGGTTTGTAACTTTAAGGAAAGAGATGGAGAAAAAACAAACAAACAAACAAAACAGTCATAGTCCTTTGCAGGAAGCTGGCCAGTAATAAGAAAGAGGGTGGCAGTTTCAATTTTTTTTAAGTTAGAATTTTTAGCTACACCATGGACTACACATTTTAAGAACTCAATCAGAACTGTGCATACAACTTAAAGTAACTGTTGGGCTTTTTTATCACTTAGAGCGAAGAGACTGAGTTTCAAACAGGAGCACTGGGACAACTCCCATTACTGAACAGTGAAAGGGACATGGAAAATGAGAAGATGCTCTGTGATCATGCGTCATGAATTCTGCTTGCCAATGCACTATGCACACACATTTAACAGCATTTTCTAATCCTTAAATGCATAAATTTAAGAACAATAACATAAGGCCAGACCAGAACAAAATTGCAATTCCCTTACCTGAATTGCTAATAATTTTAAAATGTCTCTGACATCATTATCTGCTAGATTTTCCTGGGAGAATATTTCATAAAGAGGAGCTTCATCTGGGTATTTCTCACTGTATGTAAACTTGAGGGTAGTCTGGACAACTAAAACAAAAGACTTTGATGTGAGTACATTACAAGTATAGAGATCAGTACTTTTGTTGAGTCAGTAATTAATTTATAATTGGACAATGAAAAGTAGCCCCATACATTTTCCTACAAAGAAAAATGAAGGTTACTAAGAGACCAGGTAGATCAGCACTGATATAAATAGCACATCAATCTAGGATATGGCTCTGTGGCACAGCACTTACCTGGCAAGCACAAGGTCCTGAGTTCAATCCCCAGTTCCAATAAATAAATAAATAAAAATCACTTTCATTTTAAAAAATAAAAAAAAATAAATAACACATAACACAGAGTAGTAAATGAAACAAATCAAGGGAACACCAAAAATCACCTCTCACATGTAAAACACATTTACTACCTATTGGCCTTTTACTATATTTCCGCAGAGGACAGATAAAGGCTATTCTTCCTTTAAAATCTTCCCTAAGATCAACAAAAAGCAACAAATATAAGACAGTGAAAAAATACTAGAGAGACACTCGGGGCCGCGCTGACCTCCGCCCGCCCCGCGGGAAACTAACAAAAGCAGCACGAGCTCGGGGCTTGGGAGTGGGGGAGCAGCGGCCACAGGGCGGGCAAGCCTGGGCTGGGACCTGCGAGCACCAGGTGGGGCTGCTCCAGAGTCTGGAAGCGGTGGCACCAGAGGACACGGATCTCTCGCCTCTGGGACTCACCGGCACCGTGGGCTGCTGCACCGGATGCTGCTCGCTCATCTGCCTCTGCACGCTGCAGCTGAATCTTCAGTATTATACAGAAAAAAATCAAATATAACCGTTGACAAGAAGCAGGTTTGTCATATTTCCTCTTTTAAGAACTATGGACCAAAGTCACCCCATTGTGTTTCTGTGGAGTTTTGTCAAGTTAAGAGATTTTCCAAGAGTGCTCTTGGAGCTGCTGGTCCCTGGTTCGAGTCTGTGTTTTGCTCACACCGCCACGGTTCCCAGCTGAAATTCGTGCAGAGAGCCAGGTATTTCCCACCTACTTCCTGAGGGCAGAGCAGGCGACCCAGGACCCCGCCGCCATTACACACTGAGTCTCTGCCCTCCCTGCACCTGTAGCAGAGAGGAGGTCCTCACTCAGAAACCCCAGGGACTTCTCTGGTTGGGGGCAGGGAGCGTAGCCCGTCCCTCCGTGCACCCTGCGCCTAGTGAGCCAGTGCTCCAGGAGCTGCTGGTCCCATGGTTCAAGTCCATGCTTTAGTCACACCTCCACAGTTCCCCGCTGAAACTCACAGACATAGCCAGCTATTTCCCATCTACTTCCTGAGGGCAGAGTGGGCAACCCAGGACCCTGCCGCTATTACAGACTGAGTCTCTGCCCACCCTGCACCTGCAGCAGAGAGGAGGTCCTCACTCAGAAGCCCCAGGGACTTCTCTGGCTGGGGGCGGGGAATGTAGCCTCTCCCAGCGCCCGCATGCCCTGCGCCTAGTGAGCGAGTGCTCCAGGAGCTGCTGGTCCCGCGGCTCAAGTCCGAGCTTTACTTTTCCCCAGATCTTCTAGCGGGTCGAAGGCACAGGCAATCTGTGACTGCTACCCATCCGGCCTACATCTGGTTCCTGTATGTGTCCTGAACTGATTGGAGAAACAGAATCAGGTGGTTCACAAACTGTCGACCCTGCAGTTTGTCTCTAGATTTTGCCTGTACCCTGAACAGTCTGGGGACATAGGCCCACTGGAGCAGGATTGTCACACCAGTACAACCAGACTTTGGGCCATGCAGGTGCCCTGAACTGCAAGGGGACGCTGGATCAGACGGTCGGCCATCAGCTAACACCAATGCCCGTGTCTGAGAACAGGGATAACTAGACACAATCAAAAACTGCCAGAAAACTCAAGACGAAGTAGCGCTTCTCAGAGGTCACTCAGGAGGAAACCTGACCATCAGGAAAATTAGGGACACTAGTGGCCTTTGCTGTGCAGCTACTAAACAGGTAAACTGAGCTTTCTGCATCCAGTAGCAAACATGACAAAACAAAGGACTAAAACACAATCCCAGAACTCCATCCCACTCAGAACAAGTCCAGGAGACATCGACGAAGGACAACTTGGTAAACATATGCATGAAATAGCTGAAATGACTGCAATGGAAGTAAAGAAACAACTCCTTAAGGCCACAGAAGAGATGAGATCAGAAATAATCTCTCAGGCAAAAAGTGAAATGACAAGAATAATGAAGGAACTGCTCAAAAACTCTGAAGAAGAAACATATAAGAAAATAGAAGAACAAAGGCAAGGGTCAGAAGCAATCAATGAAAAATATAGAAAGGACTTAGAACACATGAACCACTTTGAAAGAGACTTCCAGGAAAACAAAGCTGCCACTGAATGAAGCTGAAGATAGAATCTACCAAAACCGCTTGAATGAAGCTGAAGATAGAATCTCAGACCTTGAAGACAGCACAGCGGCTAGCGACCATGAAAGAAAGGATCTCGTAAAATCAACAAGGATCCAGGAAAAGTCAATTCAACAGCTGCAAGATGAGGCAAAGAGAAATAATGTACTACTTATAGGAGTCAATGAAACAGCACGAAGCTACACAACTGATATAAAAACATTATTGCAAAAATAATAGCAGAAAATTTCCCAAGCATGGAAACAGAACCTGATATTCAGGTAAATGAGGTATATAGGACTCCAACCAATTACAACCAAAATAAAACTACACCCAGACAAACAATAGCAAAGTTCCCAGATCTCCAGCAAAAGAACAGAATATTAAAAGCTGCTAGAGAAAACAAACAGATTACCCATAAAGGAAAGCCCATCAGAATCACGGCAGACTTCTCAGCACAAACCATCCACTGGACAAGAGCTTGGAGTGAAGGATTACAGGTCCTGAGACAGAACAGCTTCCAACCAAGACTGATGTACCCTGCCAAACTATCCATCCAGTTCAATGCAGAAATAAAATATTTTCATGACAAAGAACAACTGAAGAACTTCATGAGTGTCAAGCCAGAATTACAAGGAATACTAAAAGATACTGTAGACAGAGAAAAATCTTACTGCAATTTCAAGAACACCAGTAGGAATGAGAAGTCAAGAAGACCAAGCAAGTAAAAAGGTAGAAAAAGTAGGAAACCAATGCAACTAAATACCATGACAATGATAAATCAATACATATCAGTTATAACTGCAAATGTAGGCTAGCATTTCTTTTTTTTTTTTTGGTTTTTCTCCGGTACCAGGAACCAAACTCATGACCTTAGGCTTGCCAGGCAAGCGCTTTTGCCGCTGAGCTAAATCCCCAGCCCCATAACTGTAAATGTAAATGGCCTCAATTCTCCAGTCAAAAGAAACAAACTGGCAGAGCGGGTTAAAAAACAAAATCCAACCATATGCGGTATACAGGAAACACATTTCACTGAAAAGCAAATCCACATACTGAAAACAAAGGATGGAAAACAATCCTCCATGCAACAGGAGCCCAGAAAAAAAGCAGGGGTAGCTATTTTGTATGCAGACCATGTAAACTTCAAACCGACAACAATCAAAAGAGATCAAGAAGGTCACTAGATACTAGTCAGGGGAAAACTGCAAGAGGATGAGATAACAATCATAAACAT